CCTGGTTGGAAGCTCGCCAAAAAGGCGAGTTCTCTTCGGTGGACCTGCCGTTCAGGACGCTCGCAAGTCGCTGATGACCACGACCGAGCCTCGTTGGTTACAGTAATACTCCACCACCGCGGGTACCTAGGGTCACAGTAAAACGATGAGAAAGCAAACGACTACGTGCCTACGCCGAGGAGGGAACTGGAAGGAGGGGTCCGGGATGGCGGTTGGGACGGTCGGAGCGGCCACGATCATACCTTCAGGCGATATGATCGTGGTAAGGTGCAAAGACGCCGAAGGTCTGAGGCCGCAACCCGGGAGAGCAGCCATCGCGACCTGAAACGCGCGAAGCGAAAAAAAATAAGATAGTGAGGTAGATCACTGAGCACGGGACCAGATGAAAGACGAGAGGCTGAAGCGAGGGGCGGACAAGCTCGAACACGAAAAGGCTGTTGTGAGGGTTACGAAAGTGCTATAACTGCGATTCTAGAAACGTACACAACTCATGAGTGGACGTTGGCGCTACAGACTTATAGCGGCTCTATCAGGTGTACAGAGCTTGCACTGCAAAGATACACGAATTAGGGGTGACGTTGGCGTTACAACAACCTTATAGTGTTTCTATCAAGTGTACCAAAAGATAGACCAGAAGATGCACAAGTTATGGATGAACGGTGGCGTTGCACGGTTTGGGGTTCTCCAGCAAGCCTACAAAGGTTACACTAGAGGGATGCACAGATCGGGTGTGGACGTTGTCGTTTCCGCATTCCGCTGTCGCTAAAGTATGCAAAGTTTGTACTACAATGATACGCGACTTACAGGAGGACATCGGCATTACGAAGTTATAGTGTCTCTATAAAGTATGTTACATATGTGCATTCAAACATCCCTTAAAAAGCCATCGTAGATCACAAGCTCTGGAATTTGTTTGACCCACCACCCGTGCGAAATGCAGGACCAAACAAGGGGTGCTGTTTGAATACGCTCCCCGACCCTTCTACACTCATGTACATATGTTTGACCCACCCGCGTGAAATACAGAATCGACAAAGGGGTGCTGTTTGAATACGCTCCCCGACCCTTTTCGTAGATGTGAAAGTGCAGGTGCGTGCGAAAACGTGTTGCATGAAAAACGAAAGCCCCAAGACATCGACGTGAAAAATGTACACTCCACCCCAAATCAGTTGCGGACGCGAGCCGGCCGAACAGAGCCACTGAGACTCGACAGTAGGGTTTGCTGTGGGCGAACGCGGGCCAGAGAGAGCCACCGAGCAGGCGCGAGCTATTTGGTCAAAGCTGCAGACAAGCTGGCGCGAGCTATATGGTCGAAGCTGCAGACAAAGCTGCCGCAGGCTACGTGGTCAAGGTTGCAGACGAACTGGTGCGAGCTATTTGGTCGAGGCTGCAGACAAAGCCGCCGCAAGCTATTTGGTCGAAGCTCCAAACAAAATTGGCGCGAGCTATTTGATCGAAGCTGCAGACAGACAGGCGCGAGCCGTTTGCTCAAAGCTTCAAACAAAACCAGCGCAAGCTATTTGGTCAAAGCTGCAGACAAAGCGACGCGAGCTATTTGGTCGAAGCTGCAGACACGCTGGCGCGAGCTCTTTGGTCTGAGCTGCAGACAGATCTGGCGCGAGCTATTTGGTCGAAGCTGCAGACAAATCTGGCGCGAGCTATTTGGTCGAAGCTGCAAAGAAAACTGGCGGAATCTATCTGGTCAAAGCTGCAGGCAAACTGGCGCGAGCTAGTTGGTCGAAGCTTACGGCCAGGAGTTGACCTCGAAGAGCCACCGAGACTCGGAATGACGATTTGTTGCGGCCAAGACTTGGCCGGAAAGTGCCGGGAAGACTCGCCGGCACGATTTGTTACGGCCAAACGCGGGCCAGGACGAGCCATCGAGACTCGGCAGTACGATTTGTTACGGCCCAACGTGGACCAGGAAGATGCACCGAAATTGGGCAGCACTTTGCTCGGTAGCCTTGGGTGGACGTTCCGTGACGCCCCTCCTCTCGGAGTTTGTTTGGTGATGCCCCTGCTTTGCTCGGTAGCCTTGGGTGGACGTTCGCGTGACGGCCCTTTTCTCGGAGTTAGTTTGGTGATGCCCCTGCTTTGCTCGGTAGCCTCGGGTGGACGTTCGCGCGACGGCCCTCCTCTCGGAGTTTGTTTGGTGATGCCCCTGCTTTGCTCGATAACCTCGGGATGGACGTTCGCGTGACGGCCCTCCTCTCGGAGTTTGTTTGGTGATGCCCCTCTTCCTACACGTGCTGCTAACAATCATCATCTCCAAAATATTTGTGTAATATCCAATGATGATTCGGCTACGATCCGCATTCGTAGAAAGTCGACAACATGCTTCATCGGTCAATCTACCGCGATTGTCATATGAGTTTGTTATAAAAACATCACGCGAATCTATGCAAAAAGAGTGCGAAATATAAGCACGTCTTGCTTTTGTAGGACTTAATGACGATTCGGCTACGACCTGCATTGTTAAGGAAAAATATGCTTTATCAATCAATCTACCGTGATTGTCATCTCAGTTTAGCGCACAAAGATATACGCGATTCGGTTCAAGTATAAACGTCAGTAGACCCCTCGCAGCATGACTCGGTTTTGCTTCCGGAAGATGCGACCGTGCCCGCTTTCCTCAGCCGAGCCGGCGTCCTGACAGTCGAGTCTTCCAGGGCGCATGCTTCGCTGAACCACTCCGAGTGCCGGACTTTTCAAGCAGGGCTTCCGCATGAACTGCAACAGCAGGTGCTCCGAGCCCGCTTTCGTGAGGCGCCTCCTGACCGAGCGACGATTGGAACGCGAACANNCACTATTGGGGCTCTTGCACATCCAGCTGCAGGACCTCGGCCCACCACTCCAAGGTCCTGCAAGTTGCGATTGAGGTAAATTTAAACAGAAAGGATTGTCCGTACCTGGCCTCAGGCGGTGCGTCATGACGAGGTGGGTGGCCCGCTCCCACTTGTCGTCGGAGCTGCTGGGCCAGTCGACGGCCTGAAGTTAAGCCAAGGTTTACCAAGCAACGATGCCGATCAGCTGCCTTCTCGTAGATCGCGTATACGAAGTCGCCTAGCATGAAAGTGCAGAAACGAGCATGTGGCGTCAGTCGGACTGGCCTGCTTCCACGTCCTCCAGAAGCTTCGCCTCACGGTCGTAGACCTGCCGATAGGATCACTAGCAATTCGCTTACGCTCGGTGCTCAGCCTGGGCCGCGTGTTTGGTCGTCCACCAACGCGGATACCTGGGACGAGCCCGCTGCGAAACACAAACACCCAGCAAAACAGAACACGGTCCGAGGCAGGAGCTCCATGGCCGGCTCGTCATCCTCCGCATCGACGTCAACGACGATCGGAGCTGCGTAGATGGGTCCTTGACGCGATGACGGCGAACCAGGAACGTGCCTATTGCCTGAGGCTGGGGCCGGGCAAAGCGGCCATACTGACCTGAACGACCAACTCTAAGAAGCGAACACTACAATCGACCTCCGAGGACATAACGGCGAAGAGGCGGTGGCAGGGGCTTGGAATAGCGGGTGCTTGAAAAACCGGCTGCGACAGAATTGTGCCGGTGTTGAGGCCATGCTTTCAGCTCTCTAAACACGACGTCTTCGTTTATATGGACCCAAAAGCGTTTAATTGCGTCTGACTTTCGTTTCAATCTCGTGAGGCCATGGTTGCAGCTCTCTTACCACGATTTCTTCCTTCTAGTGTCGCCGAGCAGAATTTACGCTACGACGATACGCAACTTACGAGCGGACGTTGGCATTACAGAGTTATAGTGTCTCTATAAAGTGTATAAAATTTACATATACAGATATACGGATTAGGGGTGGGCGTTGGCGTTACGACGTTATGGTGTCGATAGAGTATGCAAAGTTTACACTACGACGATGCACAAGTTACGGGTGGATGTTGGCGTTACAAGTTTTGTTGTGTTCTAGTGTCTCTGGCAACGCTTACACTGCAAAGACATCCAAGTTATGGGTGGACGCCGCCGTTACAACTCACAGTGTTTCCATCAAATATACAACGGTTACACCGTGAAGGTACACAAATTGTGGTTGGATGTTGACCTTACAACATTATAGTGCTTCTAGAAAGTATGCGAAGCTTGCACTAGAAAGATACCAAGGTTATGGGTGGACGTCGGCGTTACAAACTTGTCTCTATCAAGTATGCAACGGTTGCACTACAAAGACACACAGATTAGGGGACGTTGGCACTACGACATCAGTGTTTCTAAAAAGTAGACTCGTCAGGCAGATTACGTCTCCGCAGCGAGCGTCGGTTGGTAGCAGTCACAGCGACGAGTTGTGACGGCAGGACTACGTTTCCGGATCTAGCGTCTCGCTCCCCTGAAGATTGAGGAGTTTCTAGCACAAACATACACAAATTCATGAGTAAGCGTTGGCGTTGCACACCTATGGCAGTACGATTTGTTACGGCCAAACGTGGGCCGGGAGAGCTAGCGAGACGCGGCAGTACGATTTGTTGTGGCCCAACGTGGGCCAGACAGAGGCACCGAGACTCAACAGTGACATTTGTTCCGGCCAGGAATCGGACTCAGCGAGCTGTTCCCAGGAAGTCTTTCCCGAAAGGTTTTAGGTTGCAGACACCTCGTTCGCTCTTCTTTTGGTTGCACCGTCCGCACACACGGTCGCAGACGCTCACTTCCTCGAAGAAGAGCTCGAGTTTCCCTTGCTGCGACCGTCGACGGCGGCCGGGTCCACAGCCTGCCGGCCTCGGCTTCGGCTGGATGCCGAGAGTCCACACCCCTCAACTCCATAAATGCACAAACCAAGCGGCTCGGCGGATCTTTCCGGCCAAAGGGACACCCCGGCACCGCGCGCTCCCAGCGCTCCAGCATCTCATGCACGCGACAGACGATTCCTGCCATTTCCTGTCCGACTCGGCTTGACTCTTCACCGCGGCACTCAACGGAGACCCGGAAGCAGTCGGGTGCGTCTTCATCCTATGCCCGGGAACCTCCGCGAAAAGCCCCCAGATCGACCTCGTGACTCGAACATGAAGTCCACGTGCGAGCCTGGACCATCTGCATCAACTCTGCCGTGGTCGTGGCGGCCGTGGTGAATCTAGAGCTCCGGTCGATCCCCGGCAGAGTGTAGAACTGCTTCGGAACGATGGCATAGGGCAGCTGTGGCGGTGCGTGATGGCAGTGCCAGGCGTGGGCTTTCTTGTAATCGTCGAAGATGATGTTTAGTTCCTCGGTTGACCCGCGCTTTCTGTGTCTACTCGAGCACGCACCCGCGGGCGAGCCCGCGTTCGGATCGCCGGTATTGCGGCCACGCGGCCTGCAAATCCAGTAGAAGCAGCCTGTGAAGTTCCGGCAGAGTTCCCGTCAGGGGCCGGCCATCCTGGAGCGTGTTCTTGGTCTGCGGATTCCGCTCGAGACACGATATGAGCGAGACCGAACAACATCGAACGGACGGCTCGGAAGAACATCGTC